AAACACAGACAGGTGAAAAATTAAAAGAAAAACTGAATAAATGAGTGGTCTCTTCCAGGATGACAGCACCCCCGTCCACAGGGCATGAGGGCTCACTGAATAATTTCAGTATGAAAACGATGTGAATCATATGCTGTGGCCTTCACAGCCGACCTGTTGGTCAGCGTCTCCACCACCATCATCAAAACGGCACAGGAGGGAATATCTTCTAGAAGAATGGTGTTCATCCCTCCAAAACCTTTGGCTTTAGGAAACTAACAGGAATTTATCACTATTTTTTTATACTTTATATAAAACAAAAAACAAAAAGTAGCTGCTGTTAGTTGTAGCCATAAAAAAACACAGGGTGTTCAACAACACTGTAGTCAAGATAAAGTTATCAGCTCAAGTTTATCGCCATAAACTATGACTACAAAATACAAGCTGTGAAAGCGGCAGATGCACTGACAGACAGCTACAGCAGTAATAATGTCTGAAGCCATGTTGACGTCTCTCAGCGGTGACACAGATAATAGCAAATAAGACTCAAGCAACTCAAATCCACAAACAGGATGATTAAACTGAGAAGAGAGAAATGCACAGACAGTCAAAGTCAGAGGGGATGTGAGATGAATAGAAGGTCTGATAAGATAAAATAAGAGGTTTTATGTCGTTATAGGCTTAAACCTGTCTCTTACACACACACACACACACACGCACCAGAATATCAGAGTCCTAATTAAGCTGCACCACATTCAAACTAATTACCCTCCGCATCATTAACATTCTCCATCACCAGCTTGGTACTTTATCTAAGAGAGAGCAGGCAATCATGAAATATTCATGATTTATTAATCTGACTACAGAAAAACAAACAATGGCAACCTGGGGAGCGTGACACACTCTCCTGCCAAACAGCCAGGTAGCAACATGACTGGATTTGTTTCTTGCAAACTACTCCAAATCTCCAACAGGGGTCCACTATCAGCTTCAGCCGCCGAGGTGAACGCTGCTATTCCCACTCATAATAGTGTTTGACTGAGATAAGGTGAAGAGGAGGTGCTGCTGGTTTTCTTCACTTGGCCCAGATCAGCCGCTGCCTCTCATTCTGTGGCGGCGTGTCAATAAAATGTCAAGCTCAGCTCGTCATAAAGAAAAACTCCAATAAATTAGGGAAATGGAAAAGTGGTGGTCAGCCAACGTGAGCAAAATCGCAGTGTGTCCATGTTGTTCTGATAGAGGAGGAAGGGGGGGGGGAACAAAGCAAAGAGAGTGGAGGCAAGGGAAAGTGGAGGAGTGCAAAAAGCAGAAGACGAGAGGCTGGCCTTCTTCTTCTTCTCTCCCTTCCAGGCGCTCACACTTTTGGGTAGATTTTCTCAAGTGGGGAAACATTTCTGCTGATGACACAGTTGTGAAAATGAACGTTCCGCAGTGCTTTGGTCGATGTCACTGTCGGTGACTCCTAATGGGAAAATCTCGCTGCATGTGCAATTCTCTGGACCCTCCACTCATCCCCGCTCACCCAGTACACTCCAACATACACCGTACACTCGCATCGCTCGGTCTCTCCCCCACTTTCCTTCACATGCACAAAACAGACTTTGCTCTGTCTCCTCTGGACTTTGTGATTCTCTAAACCTCTCCCTCTGCTTCTCTTCATTACGCTCCCTCTTTTGTTCAGTTTTCTAGCCCCCCCGGGTGACCTTGAGCTACTGTGAAGCAGCTAAAGTACAAAGTCAATACATGGTAACAAAGCTAGTTAAGTATTAAATAAAGGAGGGGGAGGGGGGATAAGGACACTCCTGTTAGCCAGAGAAAGGCCTAACAAAAAGCAAACAAAAGGAATATGAGCAGATAGACTTTAATGGAACACTTGACAGTAATAATGATGTGCTTTAAGCAAATGACTGTCCTTTTGATACCTGCAGGATAACCTGTGTGCCGGTGGAATAGAAAGCACTTAGAGTAATTACATGGTGGATTTAATGTTGGGCTACATATGAAGACTGCATGCCCTTGTATGGAGACAAACATGTTTAAGTGTAAGGCAGATCACAATGACTGATTAGCCCTTAGTGACAAAATGAAATAAATAAACCCACGCATGAAATGACTCATAACTAAAACAGGAAGTAACAGGGCACTAAAATGTGACTTTCCATTTAAAACTAATAAGAAGCTGATTTTTGTTAACGAAAGTCACAGAGAGGAAAAAAAAAAAAAAAAAAAAAAAAAATCATATTCCATTTAAGGGTGTGCTACTAAAGGTGGTTAATCACCACAGAGTAAAATCCCATTTTTGGTGAAGATTTTAAACTAGCAGCGCCCATAATAGCTTTTCACAACCTTCTCCCAGCAGCACCACGAGCAGCCGTGAAAGCCCAGTTGCTAATGCAGCGGTGAATGCGTCCTTTCATCTGTGCTTGGCCATGCAAGCGGACCAGAGTGACTCCGACCGAAGCTACCGCAGCTAAGAAAATCAACTGAATAGACGTGGAGGAGCATGGTGCAGTTGTGGTAGTTTATGGTGTGTGTGTGTGTTTTGATCGCATTTGGTCTAGGCACCTATATATTGGTTTCCAGTATGCCCTCCTGCTGCTGCATTCTTCTGTAGAGCAGCACACTTGAGGAAGGCAACGGGGTCAAAGATCAGGAGGCAAAGGTGTGCCTGGAAGGAGCACCAACCATGGCACTGTGTTTATATGAAAGTGTGTCTGTGGTTGGTGCAAGGATGCGTATTGATTGGAAACAACTAGTCGGTGTTTTTCTGTTCAATATTCTTTCAGCTATGTTCAAAGAGCATCCAGGTTTGTACACTGTACAGCCAATCGGTCTGCCTTGGCAGCGCTCCCTCCTCCACCGCTAACAGCTGCTCTGACACGTGTGTGCATTCCTGAGTCTGCAACACAGCATCCCCCAAAAGGCGCTGCCGGTCCACAGCAGCCTGCAGAAAGATCCATTAACCTGAGAGGGCTACGTCAGGGTTTCTGCAAAGCAAGGGCTGGCACCCAAAAAGGTTTAAATTATATTAGGATGAAAGGCATCACTTTGATTAAATTTAAACAGGTTACTAAATCACCACAGGAGAAAATGCTTTAAATTTATTGGGTCCACTTGGGTGCAAAATGACAAAGTAGGCTACTGATGTAAACAGCCCATAAGCAGCAAAATCAATTCTAAGTCAGAAGAAAAAGTCAAGTCATATTTACAAAGAAGAGTGAAAATCATTGAGACTCCAACCTAAACACTGTACAAGAATAAAAGTAAAACTAGATTTATTGAGTTTTAGTGGGGACAGAAATCAAAGGCAGCACTGTAGCAGTATTGATGAGAATAAAATGCTCTCTGAAACTCAAAACAGCAGAAAGAGCGGGCAGTCAAAGCTCAGCTCTCTGTTATCGGCTGTGCCAGTCAGCTGATTATAGCACTGAGAGGTTCTTGAGACAGGAGGAACCTCTGGGAGGACGAGGCCTGATCTGCTGGGAAACAGAACGCTGAGCAGTCTGCAGCAGAGGTGGGCTGTCTAGAGACAACTGGAATGTCCAATAATGGATGACAGATCTCTAGGTGACACCTAGCCCAAGGCAGCCAGAAAGACAGAGAGCATGTGTGTGTGGTGTAGAGAGAGAGGGGGAAAGGATGACAAATGGATAGACAAGTGCACGCCTGTGAAGGTTTTCTAAAACTATACATATATATATATATATATTTCTTGCATTAATAGTTTGTCTGTTCTGTGAGGAGTTGGATGTTTCTGAGTACATTACAAGTTCAAGGAGAGCCACTTCCTCCCTCAGTCCTGCAAGTGTTCAGTTACAAAGTCCTTCTCATCTTCCACCACAGCAACTTTCTCTCTGTTGAATGGAAATATGTTAACTTCACTTATGTTCCCCATCTGTCCCTGCACTTAACTTTAACATGGTGTGTGCATATAGGTACACACAACACCCCCCCCACACACACACACACTTTAGAAACAATGTTGACAAGTGATGGTACCGCATATTATCCACAGGTTGGTAAATGCAAACCACACTGATGTCACTCACACAAGTGAACCTGACAGTGGAGTTCACTGCAGCTATGTAAACATCAGACAGCGCCGCCTCCTATATTAAAACATACCAAGCATTCAGCTGCAGCTGCTGATCCCAAGAGGGAATAGTTAATTACCACCTTGACAAAACGGAGACCTCCAAAATTAGAGATAATCAGCTGGCCCCGGGGGCTAAGTGGGAACGACGGCACTGATTCCTGGAAATTAAGGTGATAATTAACCCATTATGATGGATTTATTTGCACCAAATGACTTCATAACCAAACACCACAGCCTCCTAAACTACACCCCATGCACCTTTAAGTGTAGGACACAAATGCTTCTTCATGACAAGGTCACCGCAGCACTGACACTAATTTCAGAGCAAAAACGCTGCTCACATCCCTTTCACTTAATTTGCACTAAGTACAGGGTGCAAATCCAACATGTCCATGCACATCCTGGTAAAAGGCTGCAGTAATCCCATGGAGTCTGAGCTGGAAGGCTGGGGGATGGCGAATTCCCTCATTGGAAAGGAGGGAGGGAGGGGGGCGTCCAAGGAGCTAATAGACTGGCTGGAGAAGGAGTAAGGAGGTGGAGTGGAAGGCAACATAAAAGGGTTGGTTAACTACAGTATGACCTAAAGTTGGGGATCATTATCAGTCACAGTTAACTCAGATACATTTATAGATTGTTATCACTTTGGGTGATTTATAAGTTTAGATTTTAAACTCAAGCCTAATCATTTACACAGTCTATTCAGCAAGCAGGAGGGGGATGTAAACTCTCACTGACTGATGTTTTCAGTTTGGAAGGACAGTGAATAACCCCAAAAACACACACTGTGCGTCACTGACTGAGGACTGAATGATGTCAGCCCGGTGCTCCGTTTTAGACATGGATGCAAGTAGCTTGTGCACGGATTGTGTGCATATGAGTGTAAGACAAAACATTAAAAGAACAGCTTTTCCAATTAGACACTTACTTGTCATACTCTGCGTTGTCCTTGTCACAGCGTGCATCCTTGTGCTTGTGCCAGTCTTTGCCATGCTTGCAGGTGGTGAGCAGCACCACATCCTCTGCGTTGTGGACGTGGTATAAGGCATTCCGGGTGTCGGAGCCGATACCCGTCAGGTAGCGCTTCCCCTTGAACACCAGCATGTACTTTCTGAAAGGCGGAATTGAGTTGTACTTGAGGTATCCCCTCTCTCCGCCGGTCCGCGGGTGATCCTTGGAGAAGAGGGGGATGGACACGTCAAAGTTGGGCCTGAAGTTCTCGGTGCTGATGCTGGCTTTGGCCAGCATGGCCTGGCCGATGTCGAAACCCAAGTCTTCCGTATAGTCCGGCCACGTCCCCGAGTACAAGTTAAATATGAGGTGGTTCCTGCCGTCGTTCCACAGAGGCAGGTTCTGGACCTTGGTCTTCAGATTGTGGACGTATTGCGGGGACAGCTGGTCCCGGTCCAGAGTGTCCAGACTCAAGACGAACAGGCACGCCTGTCCGGGGTCCGAGGTGTAAAACCTGGACCCCTCAATGGTCGATAAAATATTCTGGTAACTCTCGGAGATCTTCTCTCCCTTTTGCTGTGGGTAAACATAAACTTTGAAACCGTTTCTTTGACACAGAGAGAAATCAAAGCATGAATCCATACGACACCTTTTGCCTTTGTAAACACTCGTGTTGACGTCCCTCTTCTGCCTCGGAGATATGTGCAGGTTGTACTCCTCGGTGTCCGTCTCATCCCGGGGTAAGAAAGGTTGTAAAGGGTCCGAGAAATGCGGCCAGGGCTGGTCGGGCCGGTAACCACTTCGGCTGCGGTCATGCCGGCTCCTGCTCGCCGCTGGAAGTTGAACCCCTCCGAGGTAGAAGAGAAGCACCAGACATGCACCGGCGGAGAGCAGGATCAGGTAGCGTTTTTTGGCCTGCATGTGTCCTGGGAACAGGGGCGAGTTGTTTAGGAATAAGAAATGTAAAGTGGCCCGAAGTTAGGCTCTCACCAACCCCGGCTACACCGCTCCATCCTCGGGCAGCCTGCAAGAATCCCCAACCCCCCTTCTGCGTATTTGGTTCCCAAATCCAGCAATTGATCCAGTGCATGTGGGCGATGTTATAAGTATGGCCCCTTCCTCCCTCTTCCGTAGAGTTTCACCATGCCGTACAGCGCCTGCAGCGGGGCTTGGGTGCACCTAAAGGAGCCGTGCTGCCCGGACCCTCTCGGACGCAATCATATGCGGCGCCTCTCTTCCCCTGCGCTTCTTGTCACCCTCATTCAGCCTGGCTGTGTGAGGCTATTCAAATGGAAAACTGTCCGAGAACCGTCTGCGAACTCTATTCACCCGGATAAACAGCAGCAGGGGTCCCCGAGGCTCTCCCAGACGGAAAGGTATACACCGGTGTGGATGTTAAACTCGGTAACACATTGACCGGGGAGCGTAACAACCCGTCGGTGTGGCCGCCGCGCTCGGATCCAAACGCCTCGGGGTTAATTCTTGCTATTCCTCCTCTTTTATCACTCCATGGTCCCGTGTGAAGAGAAGCAACAAAACGGGAGAGAAGCGTCGCGGCGCAGGGACAGCTCAGCGATACCACAGTAACCTGACGAATCCCTGCATTTCTCTTCTTATTTATTACAAGCTCTCCACATATCCTCTCTGATATAAACAAAAACCTCACCGACGGGGACCCACGCAGGCGAAGTTATCCGGAAGACCCGAGGGGGACAGACGCTAACCTCAGACTGGGGAACTAGCTGGGGAAAAGCTCAAATACGGGATTCCTAGATCCTAGTGTCCAATTACCGAGTGCTCGGTTGTTCCAATTGTTAGTCGGTAACATTCCAATCCCGACACGACGGCAGCTGACGCGACGCCCCATCGTTGCGCACCGCCGCCGCCGATTGGCCGATCTTTGGAACGGAAAAGGTGGGACTTGGGGGAATGCACCCATTCATAACCGGAGTCCTCCGCATGTGCAAATTATCTAATTGTTAAACCTATAGAAGTTGTTTGGAGATGTGCCATAGAGCCAAGTGCCCTCAGCAGAAGAGCCTGACACCGAGAGAGTGTGTCGTGTGTCGCGGAAGTCAGTGTTTTCACTCGCTACATGGGTCAAACAGATTTACAGTGTTGGTAAAGGAACTGAGATTATATGATTAAGTAAAACTATCAGTATCACAATGATAAAATACTCAATTCTAATGAAAAGTCCTGTTTCTAAATCTTAAAGTATCACACATGAAAGTAGTGCTCGTATTCCGACTGACGGACAGGGAAGCAGCTTTTAAACGACACTGAATAATTAGAATGTTGGGTAGTTAAATCTATAACTGCATATTTTGTAAATGGATCTCCATCTATTTGTACAACATTAATTTGAATGAAAGTACTACAATTTTCATTTTAATTATCTAATTATTTTTACTTTTCCTCTAATGTGCCTTGGAAATCATTTGTTGTTTTGGATAAACCTAATATTCCCTTAATGGATTTGACTATTTGGGGACAAGGAACTAATATTCACCGTGGTCTTAGCCTGAATATGTCCAGCTTTGATGTTGGAAACTGAATATTGCAAAAAAAGAGTGAAACAAAAACCTCCCAGAAATGTACACACGTGATCTATTTAGCCATTTTTCACATTCAGCACACACAACATATAGTGATTTGTAACAATATTTCTTTTGTTCCAACTAAAGCTCCCATATAATTATTATCATTTTCAGTTCACAGGTTGCATAATAGTATGCCATATTTATTAGTTTAAATACACTTAAATTATTATTTATGTTCTTTCTTTCTTTGACAGTTTGACAAAGTTCTAGAGGTTGCTCGCTCTGCTCTTTTCTGTAATTCTGGTGTTCTTCTGAGCTTGTGGTTCTGTGGTAATAAATCAAGTTTTCTTTGTTCGTTTAATGTTTTTGGTATTTCCTGCCTTTATCAGACCACTGTACAAACTGTGTAAAGATATGATAACAGATATGAAACAAGGAGAAAGCGAGAGAGGTATGTCATGCACCACAGGTCCACAGCTGGAAGCAAGCTTGGGACATTGTGATCACATGGCTCTGTGTCTCAACCGCCACCAGGAGGACGCCAGACAGGTATCAGACAGGCTCTCACGGTAAACCAGAATCACTAGCAGCACAAAGACTTTGAATAGCCACTAAAGTAAGATAAGCCCTGTGCAATTTCAGTATAACATGTTGTAACAGTGATATCACCTACAGGAGATCTGTTTAAATGAATGATCTCATTGAAAATTTTGGACTAAAAACAGTGAAATAGTTAAGACGTGAAGACATTTAACCAGAATAAGTTGTTGGAATTCAACCTCGGGCTAAACTTTTTTCATCTTCCCTCTCAAACCAAAGTGACACAGCAGAGGCAACCCACTTGACAAGGAAATTAATAGCAGAGGAGTGGTTCTCTCTGAGTGTCACCATGCTTCATAAGCCTGCATAATCCTCCCCATTGCCATTTGGTGGCACAACACTCAGGCTGGGTGAAGAGGCCGTTCTCATTTTTTATCGGCCAATTAGCTCAGAAGAGAGGGTCTAATTAGCAGGGCTGGCTGGGACACCGGCCAGGATCCTGCGGCTGGCCGGCTCAGAGTGTCAGAATATGCTGATGATGAAGTGGACTGGGTGCTATTCCAGAGGGATGCCCCTGTCTTCAACATTGCCCTGCTTAATGCAATGTTTAGCAGTTCATATAGGAGGCTAAAGGAACATGAGACACCTGACTGATCTATCTATGGATGTTTTGCATGTCAGACTACTGCAGGAGATTCTGTGTTTATGCAAAGAGTCTCTTCTTACAGGAACTGTAACTTTGTGCCTTTATGGAAAAACCACACAGCTAGCAAATCTGCCACCACAGCCTTTCTTCTGAGAGCCTTGTTTTGTTTATGCCAGGGGCCTTGTCTCTTAATTGCTTGCAACTCTAATGGGTATAAGGTCTGGTTGCTAAATGACACTTGAAACCCAGATTTTGTTAACCAGACAAGATGTGTGTAATCTGAATAGAGTTGTTCTCTTGAAAAATGCTTGTGTCTTTTTAATGCATTGTAGGTTGTCCACATCATTAAGCATTTCTCTTAATTGCAAGTGAAAAAGAGCGACACAGTAGCTTGTGCAGGGACTGCAGTCTTAACTGCTGCACTATTAAAGGCACCATATACCCTGAGTTTATCCCCTGTTTCCCCACTGTTTTGGAACATTTTGTAGCTGTGTGGTCTCTGCATGTCAGTGGTGAGAACTGGGAGTCATTCCAGTGAGCTTTGCCTCCCTCTGCTCCTTCATCCTTCCTTGTGTACACTTCTAATATTTCCACCCCGGAAAAATTCCCCTCTTCAATCACACCGTGTAGTCTCACACCTTCACAGGACTGTGGCAGGTCTGAGATATGAAAAGGCGAGTAAATCTGGTGAACTGTGAAACTTTTACAGCTGGACTAAGCAAATCAAACTTGTGGGTTTGAATTAGAGAAGAGCACCATTAGGCTGTAGGCATTCCCTTGTTGCCCATATGAAATCCTGCTGTCAGTATGTAGGAGCATGGAATTGCTCATGAGTAGAGGAAGCTTAAATTTTGACAACATGAGATACCTGTATTCAATTTGTACATTTGGCATATGAAGGAATGGGAACTTCTCTGCTCCAAGGCTTCCATGTGCTGTCCTGGACACTTATTTGCCATTTAAACAAATGAACAGGTATCATTTTAAGGGTTCCATCTCTGAAATAAAAAGTTAGTCAAACAAACACTGTCAATACTGATAAACTGTGTGTAAAGCCCTTCCCCTTAGTGAGGCAGTCATGATAAACACTTGCAAATCCGGGACACGGTAAACAAATACCCATGGGCTGGAAGGTAATCTGTTGGGTCAGGGAGTTTCAGGCAAGAGGAAGACAAAACAACCTTTGAGAGTCTCAGGCTGCTGCTGATCAGTCGCTGATAAACTCCCTTCTGAATGATGTAACAAACTGGGCTCCTGCAGTGACAAATGGCATCAGTGTGTGTAAATGTGTATGAAGGTCTGCACAAAAACTCAAGCCCAAAAATACTGTACTGTATCTCAGGGGTGTGATGTGTGTTTGAGCCTACGCACCTGGGTTGTGACTGCACTTGAGACTCTATTTTGTTGTTTGAGTGGATGTGGAAGAGACGTAAATAACAAGTCCCGAATCCAAATGAGCTTATTTTTCAAGGCTTGTGACATGGCTCTTTAAACCTGAGAATAGAGTTCTACTGATGTAGTGTGTTATCTTGTCTACAGGGTCTCACAGGGAGTGTGCTCTTCTATTCCAGCAATACTGCTTTTATTTGAAAGATTCAGGAAATAGCACAAAGTACTCATTTTGTCTTGTCACTTGTGTAGTGATTTCACAGCGCTTACACTCAGGGAGGATAAAAGTTGAGAGAGATAGAAATATAAACATATTGTTGTGAAATGCTGGTCAAAACAGTGGCCGGGCCACTAAACCTGAGGCAATGAATTAATTCCATATAGTTGTCTCTTCTCATAGCTGACAACAGCAAACAGTGCAGTGACAAACAGACCAGAGGTTTAGCTAAAAGAGCAATGTGACTGATGTGGCTGTGGCATGTGAGTGGGAGTCAATCTGGACTTGGACTTTCTGTTCTCAGACTGTCAGCCTCATGGACCGCTTCAGGCTACTGAATGCTAAATGGTGTAGCCTTGGCTATCCTTTAAAAGTGCTATTCACTCCATGTGTGGGATGCCTAGTGATCTCCCCATTCTTTATTTATTTAAAGTGACCTTTGGACTCCTGAGCCGAGATAGCTTTGGGCAATCTGAGCTGGGTTTAAATATTCGGGGGTGTGGGAGGGAGGCCATCGTTTGTTGCCAGGGCCCTGAGTGAACGGTGCTGAAACGCCACGGTTTTGACCCCAGAATTCTTCTGGGAAGTGCTGGCTGGCAGGCAGCAGCAAATGAAGCATTTCAGGTTAAATGCGTGATAGGTTTTTGTCCTCATTAAAACAAAAATCCCTGCCACTGCTTCCTTACTCCACCGCAATTCATCGAGGTGGATTTTGATTTAGGGGATTTGACTGGTATAAGGCCACTGAGGCTTGGAGGAAAAAAAAAAAAACGCATCTTGTAGCTGTGTCTTATGCAAAGCCCCGAAAGAGTAACTTTACATTTACTTTGTCCTCACTTGCTTTTCCACTTTGTGATAGAAGACAAAAGCTCTGTCTTGGCTGAACAGAATCAAAGTATTCCTCCTTATGACTGGGTTTACTGTGGGTCCCCTGAAACACCTATTCTTAAGCACACTTGCAGATGAATGTGCTAGTCACTTGAAACATCAGCCTCACTTCAGGGAGCTGAAGCATAATGAGCGTCAGTATCATTAAATCTACTGTGCTGATATTAAATCAGTATCATTCAAGGGAGCTCATGCTGATATCATTTCTTCAGAAAGTGCTGATGTTGCTGTGAGGCCTGCTGGCTACAGTTTGATAGGATTTTTGCATCCATTCAGAGATTCTTCAGTTCCCTCAGGGACTATATTGCAAAGTAATCCACTTAATTTACAATTACCCATGCAAACCACACTCATATGGAATGATAAATGGGCTCAAGTAATCCCACTGATAGAGCTGCTGAGCATGAAAATCAGACCGTATACACTCTATACTTTCTATCTTTCCATAATTTGTCTTCATACATACAGCATGCCATCATATGACCTGATACTCTCAGTTTAGCAGCACAAGCATGCACACACACAAACAGACATAACTGCACACACACACACATTTAGAAATATATATGCTGCCTATACCCTGTGAATTCCCCATCTGCATACTGTTTGACCCCTCCCTGTCTTTGAAGAGATGCAGGGCTAAAGGTCGGCTGTGCCACATAAATGTTAATGTTTTAACTCCCCTGTCAAAGATTAGAGTAGCGCCTGCCCTTTGAAC